ATTGTAGCCGACAGACACAAAGCGATAACCACAAGCAGGCAACTACAGTGAGTAACTTCCAAAGATCAAGTATCCAAACCCCATCATTGTTCTCTTAAATGTTCCGTTTATCCGCATTCTTCAACAATCGCGTAATTGGTTAGTCTGATAATATCGTTTGGGCATCTGCACATATAAAAGAATGAGGCTAAGCACTATCAGCATCGTAAAAGCAGGCTATTGTGAACGAACTCCAATAATTTTCGTTGAAGGTAGTTTTGGTACCAGTTCAATCATCAGGAGGTCAAAAGATCACAGTTTTGTGTGGCCTAAGAAAAAATTTCGGATGTTATTCCGGTTCAAAGCCGATTGTCGAAAAGAAAAACAACGCATGAGCAATTGGAGGAGCTTGATTCAACCGTAAACGAACAGGTTTAAAAAAACAGGTTAGCCCGAATTCAGATGGTTTAGTGTCTATCCAAGTCCATGGTAGAATATTCTACGGCTGGAATGAACCGACGAAAACACACAGTAATGTCTGTGTTATGGCGACGATTATTTAAAACAAACTGTTTTCGCTGGTAGAACGGAATGGTGTCTATCACACCTGTCGATTTATTTATTTTCATACAAAAGAGGGAAATGTTGTGGTTATGAACCCGCATTTTACGTAATATTGCGATGTATTGAGTGAGCAATTGGTGCAATCAGTTTCTCTGTACACTGGCACCAGCTTTTCTCAAACAGAAAAATGGTGGATGTGTGACATCTGTCCAACTTGGCGCTTAACCTTTTTTATTATCTGAATTTTGCAAGATTCTCCCATCCGATTTCAAGGATCATCAGTGGTTTCATTAATTTACAGTTTTATATCGCTTTACTAGTTACAATTAAAAGTAGGCGAGTTACTTTTTTCAACCATTAGGAATCGATCAAATAAAAATAATTCTTCAAGAAATTAGCTAGGAACGATCGAGATCTCGCTGAGCTCAGTTGATTGCATATAAACTAGGAAGGATTCTCATTTTTTCGTTTTCGTTGAAATAAATCCATATGTACGCGATGAAAATGTTTGTGATAACCGACAAAGAGCACTGGACAGCTGTTTCGTCCTGCTGCCGTAAAATCCATGTCTTTCCTAACATTCACGTAAATGAGGACCTGGATCCTACCAAGTGTGTTTTCAGTAATCGAAAGGAATGAACGCTATACAGTTGTTGCCCAGACTTGTGCAACTTCCCTCCTATAGAGGTTGGTAATAGAAAACGGTTCGACTTCATCAAGTATTTTTCTTCAAATTTATGCAGTTTCCGGAGGAGTCAAGGCCAATGTCGAATTCATTCAATTACCGCCCAGCACTTGGAATTGGAATGTATTCGAAAACTTCTCCCGGTATTAGAAACAGATTAGTAAGGTCCCTCCAAAGTCGTCGTCAGTGGTTAGGATGCGGCATTTATTAGGGGAAACTGGCAAATTCTGTTGGATAATCAAGTTAGTGGACTCTAATAAAGCGACTAACACCAGTGCTCAAAATTGAAGAAGGGCAAATAGAATGTGGACCAGATGAAAGTACAATACTTGTATACAATATATAATACTTATATATGAGCTATTTCGTTAGATAAATTGTAGTTATGTTTTTACTGTGGCTTTGTTGGTTTGCAACTGATGCACCAGTATTCATCGTCGCTATCGATAAATTGTACATTTTATTGTCATTCAACTAACAGAAGCAGATACATAGATGGGTATTATTACGAATATGTTGGATTTGATGTGGGGCAATGGCATATTCAATCCCGTGAATGAGGCTGGAAAAACTAAGCATTGGGGAGAACAAATGTGATAGAAGTCAGGGTGTGCTACACTAGTTTGGTCAATATCCGTAGTTTGTTGGCAAATTGTACGGTTCGAACATCACCATGCTGACTCAGGACCCGGTACTTGAACAGGAAGAGCTAAGTAATCCCAAAAATGGCTACGGTTTTATATTTTCTAACTTTGGTTGCACCTTTGGTGAATAAAACTCAAGGTGACCAAAATCTGAGGATAATTTCACATCAAAGACATACTCATACAAAAAAGTGAATGGCACAAACTACTGTTGTACAGATTTTTTAGAGACCGCTATGTTCGTTCGGATGGTGCAGTTTTTACTCCGTTGCCAAATAATATTGTTTGCAAATATGTAAAACATCCTTTTCCCTTTATCCATTTCATCAACATCAGAAGACATGTGGGCAGAATTGATATTGGCCATCAATTTTGCGTGCTCTCATTCAGCTGTAAATGTTTACGGCTGTAGCCTAAACATATTGATAGATAAGTATAAGGAAACGATAATTAGTAGAGCTTAAAAGGATTACCCAATCTTTACACGCTGAATGCTTGGATTAGCCCTTTCTGTTTTTCACAGGCACAATTTGATGACCGTCGACCGCGTAGCTCGGAGGCAAGATTTTGAAGTTCCAATCCAACGGTTTGCGGTTCGATTCCTGACAGGGATGCAAACAGTACGCACTGCTGACGAATCCCAAACTGAACGAAACAGCAGTATAGTGCTCTTTGTCGGTTATCACAAACGCTTCCATCGCATTTAGATTATCCGGTCTTCTTGACAGTAAAATAGCATGATTCAACTCGATTGATGATGAGGATGATGATGATGTTAATGAATGATGATTAACATTCTGCTCCCGATAAAACAATTCCTACGAATATCTCACAATCATAAAACGCATTTTAGTTCAATACGGGATTTTTGGAATTGACCAAATTCTCCAGTGGATAACACTTTGCACATGACGAACCAAAACAACGATAGGTGCTTTTAGAGTTAACCGGAAAAATACTCAACCAATTTGATCNTGATCCGAATTGACTATCCTATTAAACATACACTCGGAGAGAACTAGACTCGAGTTTCACTCTCTTTACAGTTCATGTGTATGGCATATACTTCGTCCCGTCCGAGATCGCAACTTTGTGGTCGTCGTATGAAACGCCTGTGAGTTACCGCGGTGCCACCCGGCTAACGCTAGGATTGATTGCTAATTGATTGCTAATTTAAATTTATTTAGGTATGTTGGTCAATGACAGTGATCAGTTCATTTTGGCCAGACAGCAAAAAAGGAAACCAGCTAACTATCTGTGATTTGCAAGCGAAAGATTTCCATTACAGTAGATCATGCATAACGGTTCGGTCTGACTTGCCGCGACTAAATATATTAAACTCGATATTTACTTAAAATTTTACCTCCATTACTTGTGACTAGTGGTGTGGGATAAGATATATTCATTTGGACAGAATATCTGTTGGACTTTATCCATTAGCACAATCCTCTATTGAAGAGGTTGACCTTTGACGAACATTCAGTTCAGATCACTAGCACTATCATTCGGCACCAATACGGCCCAAGTTTTTGAGGTAAAGTGGGGATTCAATCAAATATCTGTATCAGTATTACCAGAGACGGAAATATACTGAGATTTCTAAATTTAATTTAGCATTCATCTGGTCGGAGTGCTGTGCACTGAATTTTATATCTTCAACTTTACCCACAAGCTGTAATTTTCCCAAAACCTTATTGTGAACGCGTTACAACGTGATCACGGAACGCCTCCTCCAAAACTGATAGTTTAGGGTTCAGTAGAATGTTTGAATATCTCACACCAGAGTTCCCCCTTATATCACCAACATATTGCTTCATTTAACAAGAAGTGATCAAAGAGGAACTTACTGTTCCTTTGGATTTTAAGGATGCCAAGTATTTGTTATCAGGGACAACAAGGAGTCCTTCAATATTTACATTCCACGAGATGTGATTTGTAGAAGATTCGAGACTGTATTCATTAGTTTATATAAAACAATATATTCCAAAACTGTAGGAGCACGCTTTCTGCTGTAATCAAGCAAATGATGAATTCACTGATTTCAATGACGACAATTTATTATTGCCCAAACATCATCTCTGAAACTAGTGAAACGAATATGGTCCTTATTCTAATTCCGAGTGAGATTTTCCACCATACTCCGAGAATCAAGTCACCCGAGAAAAAAATCTCAGCTGGCAGCAGCACGCATTCAACTGTATAAAGAAGCAAACAGCTCTCATCCTTCCAGTAGTGCCGTATCTTTAAGTGAGAGGGTTCAAGAAATTCTCACGATTTTATTTCATGACAATACAAGCTGTCAAGGTGCTACTTTGTTCAATTTTCTGAGACCCATTTTTGGAAATGCATAGTTTTCCTTATTCCCTGGATGCCATTTGTTCATCAGAATTATATATAATCACGCGGAAGCTACTGTTTATTTCCGACCCCTGACAAAACTACTGATATCGCTTTGGACCCCAACGGAAATCCTCGCTTCTCAAAGCGTAAAAGAAATATGATAAGGCCGATCCATTTGAGAGACGTCATTCGAAACTATGTAGATTATCTTCCACTATTTTGAGCCCAAAGTGGCACACATTGTTGAACATACCAAAAGTAAACACATCCTCAACTCCTTCAACTGTAACAACGTGAACAGATTTTCCACCGTGTTTGCATTCAGGGAGTGAGGCGAGAGCAAGGGGGAGGATTAACAATAAGTCAATGCAACTTTGATGGCTGAAAGTGTCGGGTGTATAGCTGAAACTCGCAGAAGAGTACTCATGGCTTCTACCTCTGTTTGTGTGTGTGCGTTTGACGAAGTGATTAATGTGCAAGTGTATGCGTGTGTGCATGCATACACCAACATGTAATTGAATGCGTATTCCGGTATGACTGGCTCCATACGTTACACGATTGTGTAAAAATGTGGCATTACGTTTAGCGCGTTGGTGTCTTTCATCATCATCATCATCACCACCACCACCACAATTCACTCCATTTTCTTCCGGCCCACCCGTTTTTTGCCGAACACTTTTTTACCAATACATATCGCTATGATCGGTGTAATAAATGTGCACCACATTATAGTCTTCACTAGTTAAACAAGCAGGTCCAGACCTGCATTAGCTATTGTTGCTAAACTCATGAGGAAATTGAATACTGTGCTATCACGGAAAGGAGTTTCACTAGCTCGGTAAGTTGGCATCTGGCTGCAAGTGGATTTGTCAACAAGATAGACTGTTTCTTTCTATTAATATGCGTTTGTGCTAAACAGGACCCATTCCCTCTCTAATTTTATCAATCTCACTTTAGTTTAACGTCTTAGACAGCTCAAACTTTGCTGTTGTGTAAAATCATCCTCACAGAGGGGCACAAAATTCGTCAACTGGTTTCCTAGCCGATCAGAATGTGGTAGAATAAGAATAGCCAATAACATTTGATCCAGTATTATTTTGCGTCAACTCTAAAAACCCGGCTCGCGTTCGAACGCTGTGAACATTTCCATCTCCAAGCATTCACAACTTACTTAGTCCGCTCATGGAAAAATCGGTCGGGTGTATGTGTGCGTGTGCAGCGGAGTGTTGAAATTTGAAAAAGGTAAATCCAGAGGCTTACTGGTGCGCGGTTGCGCGATGTAACTGGCAGACGACAAATGTCAGCAGCGATCTACTTTTCGTACTCACACAACAGGAGAGTTACTAAAATCTTTATTCTCATTGGCTACGAGTAGGTGCTTGTTGCGTGTCAGATGTGACAGCTTTTTTCTCATACACACATATAGTTGGACCAATCCAAATGATAGACTGACACTCAGCTCATCAGAAACGGGATTGGCCAATCCGAGTAGGGTTCCAAGTAACTACAATATGCCTGCTTGAGTCCATCCGATTCATGCTCACTTCGCAACTACTGACAAGTAGTGTGTCGGTTAACCGATTCACAATAACAACAAACAGAACAAACATTGAACTTTAAAGTGAATACAATGTAAGGCACAATTCTGGCCAATGTACAAACATCTTCCACAGCTGACAGATGCATTCTGATTCTGTCAGTTTGTTGCTTATTTGCTTTTTTAGCATTTTCTGCGATAAATTAAGACGACTATCTGGTACACAGATTCCTGGTTCTCATTATAGAAAGCATTTATTTAACCCTTCGGTAGGATCGTTTTTGTGTGTTATCCAGAGTGCAAAACGCAGAGCTGAATAAAAAGCAATCTCCATACATGTTGGTAAAGCATTTAGAGGGTCGTCACAGTAAGGTCCATTATAAATTCAATGAGTGATATGAAATGGAGTAAGGTTGGGTGCCGTACAGAGAAGAACAAACAATTCAATGGTCACCAAAGTCCGCGAAGGTAAATATGTGGGAGTATTTTTCAAATTCCTTTGACTCACCCTTTACCTGCCATTGCTTAGGTTGCGTGTTCAGCTTGTTTTGTGTGATAGTGATAAAGTCAGTAAAAATTTTTGTTGATGAGGTTTGGAATGCGGTCATTCCGAAAGCAGCGACATGTGAAATGCCGGTTTGTTTAGCAAAATCAATAATGGTGTATGGTTTTGTCAGGGTAGTTCTATAATAACTCTATTAAGAGTGGAGATGAATGATAGTATTGTGATCACTGGTTTTCCCCTAATGCTTTTCACAATAATGGTCAGACTATGCTGTTCAACAGTTATTAATCTGAACTGACTATCCTTCAGACTCTATCGTCAAGCACAAATGGCTAATGGTTACTCAGTTCACCATGCTTTTAGGTGTATTTCAAAATGATAAACACTGTGCAACGCGAATCACTGATATTTTTCGAAGAGAACAAACTTGCAGTATACAGATGAAAGCAAAAATTAATTAGCTGACCCAGAACATATCAGTGTGATGCAGTTAGTGATAATATTATAGATTACTAAATGAAACCACCTGGCGGCGTTAATTTCGAAAGCACGGGCAAAACTCCAACATTAAAAAATAAAATAAAAAAGTCTTTCTATTCCCTTTTTTATTTATTACAAATGTACATTCAACATTCAAGAAGCGGGCCGCGACTATAAAAAAGGCTGTCTGGGGAAATGCAGATATAGGGAAGACGGGCGGTGATGGAGCGGTTCGAACCCAGGACACCCAGGTCACAAAAGGATGCCCTAATCACTTGGCCTCCACCGCATAATACCAACGAGTTATGCATCAACATCTCTTCCCGTCTGCGGTTTCCTGTTGAGATTCTGATTTTTGATTTGTCTGAACATAACATCGGATCTCAGGTGGTCGCAAAATCACAACGTTAGTACTACCACATACAAAACATCTCTGTCTCTTCCTCATGTTGACACATACTTGTTCTCACATATTGACAAGCTCTGACATTTCATCCAAGCTATGGTGTTTACGTGGACAGACTGCCGCACGAACTGATCAAAGGCATTTACGCACACCTACACGCACAGGCACCGTGGTAAGGCTCAGTCAGGTACCGAGTGATGCACTCAAGCATTTAAAGGCCTATACGTGAAGGAGCACGAGGGTACATGGTGAAATTGGATTGGTAGACCGGGTACGGACAACCGGATGAGCGATTTTCGTACAGGTTACAAACATCTTGGCGTGACTTTGTTGACCTGGTACTTGTGTGTAGTATAGCCACATATTTACTTGTTCGTTTGAATGATGATACTGACCTCATGTTTAGTAACGAAACCGTACACACGGCACACTGGTTTGCCAGCAAGGTAGCGTGTATGATTGTGTACTTGTGCACGGTTACGGACATTCCCACGCCACATCATCCTCGGTTTATCGGACTGCCGTTGCAACTTTCAACACATTTTCTCTCTCTCTCGCTCTCTCTCCGTCTCTGTCACTCTCTCGGCGCAGGATGCCCGAGAATAGTCCGAACGAGGATGGGCTTACCACAGTGGAATCGGAGCACGTTACAGTCAAGCGCACACGAATTAGAGCCCGCCCGGAACATATCCTTACCAGCCCGATTGCTTCGTTAACCGACTGGCGAAAACGACGGAAAGCAAAACGACAAATCATGTATCGGTAAGTGAGATGGCTTTAACTATTTTTCCGCCGAGCGATGGCCCTTGTCAGAACGAAATACAATTAAGTATTTTTACCGACCGCTGCCAAACTCACAGATCACGCACAGCAAACTTGAGTGAAGTGAATAAAAGACAATAACAGAACATGTCACTCAATAATTGTGTGCTATTCCATTATGCATGTATATAACCTTGAGTGTCTGCGCTGTTAATCGAAGGCATTTGGGAAGTTGGTTTCAGTTCTTGGCATTATTTCAAATAACTTGATTATGATGACTTTTGCAGTCATCTGATACGACTACGTTTTCGTTGGAGCCTCTTGCTTGCATATGAGCTGTCGGGCTCCGTACGGGTTGCTGCTCTTCGGAAGCAGCAGCTTCCAGCTGACATCGAATTGAGGTTAGTACTTACATGAGAACATTGAAATACCCGAAACCTGAAATTTCTTAAGAAATGGTACTTCAAAATCATAATGATAATGATCATTTTGCTGTAGATTTTCAGAACAAGTGTTATATGAGTATCTCCCCTCCCTATGTGATACTCTCCCTGAGTGGTCTTTGTTAAATCTTCTTATACTCTTATTTAATTATACAAAGTAATAATCATGCCAGATGAAGGAGCTGTGACGATTCCGTTATTTTCCCAGTTCAGTCATACCATACTAACGAAACTGCACTGTTGGGTAAACATAGGTGTAAATTTTGGGGACCCATGAATGCATCGTGCGGAATGGTTGCTATATTCAGTGAACCCTAGTGAATGTAGCGACGATGAAGTGGATTCAAACAAATCCTGTACTATGAAAACAGCAGGCATCAGATTAGACCTCTCCGTGTGATCTCTCATTTGCAATTGAAGACAAGTAACCAAACAAAATCTCGATAAGGCATTTGGAATTTTCTTGGGTTAAATGCTTACTAACCTTGTCGAACCTGGTGATGTGGTTGACGATTTTATTAAATTGTCACCAGCAACTTGATTACGGGTATTCTAATCCAATTTAGAACAATGGGATTCATGCGCACAAAACAGATGTGTTGTTATATCCACAAATTTCCAGATTAATATGAGCACTCGAGTCACGTGGTCTAAGTTCCGTGTTTCACGGTATGTAATTACTACTAGACACTCTATTTTGGCCTTAGATTTAAAACTCTTACATTCAATTTATCATCCGCTTCATGTGACAACCGGACAAACATTGAAATTTACTGAGTTCAAACGAACAATTGGAACATCGATTATTTGAAACCATACTATGCATTAAACGATTAATTGAATGAACTTTTTAAGTGTGAGTGGAGGTGTCTATTTTGTTTTGGCGCAAGCCGGCTCTGAGCCTGACTGTAATAGATCACTTAAAACCCTCTCCGAATATTCATGTTATCGTGCAGAGATCCGATGGATTTCGGATATAAAAGCCGAATGTAACCGGTGCTCGCCGATCGACGAACAAAAACAACACATCATGTACCGTGCAACCATCCACTTTTTGATTTGTGACTGGAAGTGAACAACTGGCGCAACAGGGTATCAACACACATGTTTGTATTCCGACCAATTTAAGTGAATGATCTGTACCCTTTAAGGGTGAACAGAAAAGTCATGCTGTGCTGTTTGATAATAGCAGATTCATGCAGGAACACCTTGTGCAGGTGATCGGCGTATATTGCTTCGCCGTACACAGCTTTTAATGCTCAGTTGTTCACAGTCGCACCCCTTAAACGTTATACCCCATTTAGTTCATAGCCTAGGCTACGTCCAAAAAGATGTTGTTTATTGCGAAGGTAATGTGGTAAGCGGAGTGGACATATGGGCAAATTGAGACACTTGAGGAATGAACAAACCTAGGTGGGAATGACAATGCTTATCTTGAACGCAGCCTATTAGGCGGCCAAAATATAGGAAAATGAGAGAGAAACAAAGACTAGACAGTGTAGCAATTGGAATCGCTGGTGGGAGAAACTAATCCTAATTGGTAAGCGAGGGAGAGGGGGACAAGATGGAAAGATGGAATGAAAGTTTCGATTGCGAGAGAGGTGCAATAGAGAAAAGTTTTAATGCATGTTGGAACACTGGAGAAACGTAAAAGAGCTGACAACTCTCCATAGGGCAGGGAATTAAATCAACTTTGATTTAACTCGCTTTTGGGTTAACCTAAAATGAGTAATTCCTTGGTGTTGATAAACGTTATTCTGGGACATAGTTTATATATTCATAAAATGACAACTAAACTCATGGAACAGTATATTTATGATTCGAATAGATCGACAAGAACGTAATTTTGAATGATACTAAAATCAAACAGATCCATAATACGATGCTATGATTTTGAGTTTGGCAACATCACATATGACCAATAATTTCCCAGGTCCGATTGTCTCCTTAAAGATGAAGTTATTTGCTGATAAAAATTTTTCAGAGGTTCAATGAATTCCACGTGGATTACTATTTTCGAAAATTGTTTCTTGAATTAACTGCTTCATTACTGTTAGCCGGATACTCGAACACTTTCGCACTCACCGGAATCAATCAATTGGTTTTTACCTGAATGTCACTTCAAACGAGTGCGCTATCAAAGCATCCTTCAAGACGAACATTAGAATTCTTCTACACCCTCTATTATAACTCTGACCGAATTATTCGGGGAGTTTAACGTTGTTTCGCCTTGATTAATTCCACCAATTGCATCAGAGACTGCCAGCACGATCTATCATTATCTAGTTTCAACTTCGCTTTAGTCACTACTTCCTGTAAAGTTTTATCAGATCATCAACCTGCGGTTTGTAGTAGTTATATACGGTGATGAACCCTCGAATAGGATTGCGTCAGTGATTTAGGGAGACACAGACAAACAATTATCGTGTGGTCCCTTAGTGCTTAAAAACAATTCAATACGAAGTCCGTTTTCTTCATTTCAAAGGAAGGGAGTACCTTAAGGGTTACGTTAAACTTGCAATTGCGCCTACCTTGGGTGATGGAAAGCGGTTTGTCGCGGAAAAATTGTTTATTTAGATGAAATATTATACCTGGGGTAGGCTTGACGCTGAGCTGCATGCAGACTCCTCCAAAACCCTGACCTGGGATGAAGATAATCCCCAAAACTCAGTGCCATATAGTGCAAAGTACATGGTTCGTATGGGTTGCCTTGGCTGAAATGTTTCAATATTGTATATTCTTCACATTCGTCCTCAGTGCGCTGTCAAGTTATCCAAAATTCTATGGAGTGGAAACAATCCGTCCTAATGCACACAAAATCATCTACCTTTTCCTTTCTCCCAGTCACACGATCTTGTTTGATTTTCTCGACTGGTCCAAGCGCTCTGTTTTAAAATGTACATACCACGATCAATTTTATCACGTGGTTTAGTTGTAGATTCGACGGAAGTAAACAGTATACGCAAATAGTGAAGAACACCCGAGAAATTCTATATACTCTGGAGAACACACTGTCCGAGCTAACTGTGCTCGAGAATGGTTTCTGCTAGTATTTAAGTCTTCCGTTCCCAGACAGAATAGGCCACATGAAATCCCTTCGCAACACAGTGTCTACGGATTTGGTGAGGCAGTCCACCTATTATCATGAAGCTCGGTGTGACTTATCGCGTGCGTTCAACCTACCCTTACTATAGTAAGGGCGCATTTCGTATGCTAATTGATGACTAGGTTTTTCTAAACTAAACAAACTGATCAACTGATGACAACGTAACTGCACAACCATAATGATGGTCTGATACGACGACACTAGTCCGCATTCAGTATGTCTACGGACCGAAGGAGTACCAGTAAGTAGTGTTTCTGCGTCAATGTTTGTAAAATGCCCTCAAAATTTATATTAGTTCCCTTTATTTTATGAGGTCTGATTGCACTGTGAACTAAATAAATACACACACAATATAAAAATATATTAGCTTCCGTGATTGTTTCCACAGTTTATATCAATTAACTATAAGAGAGTACCGGAAAATGAAGTATATCAAACTTTTCAGGCATCACGTATTATTATGTTCATTGGTTCTTCTGTGGTTCAACTTGCTTGAAACACAACAAGAGACTAGTGAAGAATGATTGTGTTGCAGCTCTCAGTGTCGCCTTGCGTTAGTGACGATATGAACTGGTTTGTAAATATGTCTGTCTTATAGTAGAACAGTACCCATGCGTTATGAGTTTTGTGCTGAAGCGCAAATGACTTTCTCCTTTACATCAGACCAGACGGGGTATTGGGAGGATTTGCATACAGTGGTCTCAGTTACCACACATGCTACTCCCGCTTTGTCGTTCTACCATACTGAAAACTCGGTCTGTCCACCACATGCATTCAAATTTTCGAATATTTTCAAATAATCGCTAAACTATACCGATTCCAAATGTGAGAAGTTCAGTAGGACTTGCTGGATACGTACATTTTTATGGTCTTTCATCTTTCAGATTTCATCATAAGCTTAACCAAACTCTCTCCAAGATGTATCTATTTCGAGTTTTGCGATTAATAATGAAAACCAATGATGCATATCCATCACCAGGCCTATGGTTTAGGCCGCGTGATCCTTGAATGGAACTCAAGAGTATTACCAATACTTTAATTCCCTAAACAGTCCTACAGAGCACATTTCAAATAGAACAAGCAGTGGCGAACAAGCTCGTTTTCAGTGATTCGTAGTCATGTCAAATAAATCACAAAAAGAATATTAGGCTGTTTATATATAAATCAGTATTCAACCATAAAAACGCAAACAAATATTTTGGGAAAGGGAAAATAACCTCACGGGCTATCTGGGGCTAAGTTCATCTTGGGACCGGATGTGGAATTCTCAATGATCACATAATTGTTAGGTCATCTGTTTGTTGGGACCACTCTGAATGTGGGATGTGTAGGGGGTGGGCCAGGGGAGCTTAAGCGCCTGCACAAATTGTTTTTGGGCACACAAAGGGGGGTTGTGCAGCCGAATTCCTACTGCTTCCGCTGTGGCTAGCAGCGAACCTGCCTTGATAATCGACCACGAACCCGGTACAGAGGACGGAATGACTCGGTCACATTTCCAGTGTGATTTATTTCAACTAGGTGTGAAAACACTGCACTAGTGAGTGACTTAACCGTTCCTGTATTTAGCAGGGTGCTGTTCACGGATTCGTATGGACAAACGCCTGACCGTGAGACCTATGTACGTGGTTCCAATGAAAGCGGATAAAAATGTTTACTCAGTGTACTCCCTTAAAAATCTTTGTCAGCATTTAGTAAAATTTCCTGCAAATCAGTAGTGATGCGCCACGTAGTCCCTGCATGAACGATAGACAGGACATTGGTTCCCAAACAGCGCACGATAAGTAGGAGCAGGCTCTCCTGGTTCTGGGTTTGTGCCAGAAACAGGTTTCGCTATAGGGTGTGCCTACTTGAAGTCGGTTTAGCGATAGCACAACACATTGGACCAGGCTCTGATGAGAGTGTCTGTGCCGTCTTGTCTGGCAAATGTGAAAATGCAAAGCTTATTTTTCGCATTGAGCTGCTTTTTATTCTTTGGTTTTTGAAACTGTTTCAGGGAATACAGTGAAAAATATAGACCGAAGTTAAGTAGATNAATGGAGTTCTTCAGTATTTACTGACAGAAATGCTGCATACGACTACAGTTCGCTTTTAAACTCCGTTGCGGATATTCAAAGTCAGAAAACAACTCACAGCAAGCGCCAGAGTTTTGGTTATTTGAATATGTTAGAAGGGCTGAGCTTAACCGCAACGAATTCCAAGTGCAATCACTTCAAGAGACTGCATCGATTTAGCCGATCCGAAAAATCCATCACTTATCAGTGGTTTTCCTCTGTTTGTTTACGAGATACAAATCGAACCACACTTGATACTCAAGGGTGGATAAATCGCTCGGGGTTTGGCTGAAACCTCCAACCACAAGCATCTAATTCAGATGCCACCAGGCACACAGTTTGGTCTGGATGACGTATGTCATGCTTCGCCAGCATGTGACAGACCTGTTCGTGATATCCTGTTCATGTGGAGGCTCGCACAATCGCTCAATGCAATTGGTTTAACAAAAACATGACCGGCATCAAATCGAGCCATTTCAGGTATCGTTTGACATTTGGATTGCAGGCGATACAAGCCCTCATTTCACTGACTTTATTGATAACCCTCACCCCAAACGGGCGATTCGCTGAGCTGATAAACAAGTGCACCAGGAGATAGGTAGGTAATTTGTTGCACAGAAAACATCTATTTGCGATGGTAAAACAATAACCATACGCAATCCAGTACAAATATTATAAAGGCAAACTGTTTTGTATCATAAATTCGGAATTCAAAATTATTAAACTAATGAATCCATAGGGACATCGAACGAATTTATAATGTGACCTTCTTCAGTTCTGGACGTTCATGCTATTCCGCTACAGAACTATCACATGACCCAAAGGGACTTAAGTGTAAAACAATGAACATTTCTTTTCATATTGTTTTTTCCTACTTTATCCGATATTTCCTTCAGACGGCTCATAAATGAGCCATCAGGCTTTCGGGGCTGTTCTCCACTAGTCGAAAATTTGCACAGAACAGTCTGGCCCTTGTATATTGCCATCTAAGTGGTGGATACTTAATTAAACTGTTTCGTTATACGAGAAAGAAAGTATAAAGTTAAGATAACTGATGTCGGTTATGTCACATCCTCCAAATTTGCACGAAAACGAGGTGACCAAGTGGAATAATGTTGGAATGGCGTAAGTCGTTTGACGCGGTGGTTTTAGTCGATGAGTATTTTTCTCTCAAGATTCTCACAGTAGAGTTGCAGCCGTTAAGCAAATAAATAAAAGCGTATTTACGATATTATTTGCATAAAAGTGTGCAACAATCAACTTTGCCACCCGCGTTAGAACTGTTGGAGGTAATTTCTAATGCATGTTGCAAATTGTCTTCATTACTATACTGAAAATTATAGTTCTCCCAATTAAGCTGGATCCTTGGCAACTCAGCGCCTTTGGTTTCCATGTAACCTTCTCACCCACTCGTATTAGATGCACAATTTGTAATTGTGCAGATTCTGTTGGTTACCGAATTTCAGTAGTTCAAAACCGCAGGGTAATAGGTTATTGTACGAGGCATTTGAAATAAACATCACGCATCAACAATTATAGATGAATTCCAATTATATGATGCAATTTTGACAGTGCTCAATGAGGTGGCAGTAAATCAGAAACTCAACAATTTTGAATAATGGACGTGCTGTGGACATGCCACCGACATATGCATCCCGTGAAGACGAGATAAATGTATGGGGATAGCGCACTCTCAGAATTAAGGAGAGCATTGTTGGCATTCAGTGTTGACTTGGATGATGAGACAAAAAAACACCGGTCCCACTTTCTTTAACTCAATAAAGGTGTCCACCGTACAATTCCTATGAAACTGGTAATGCGAGTTCCACTTTAACTGTTCTGACACTGAATGCTCTGCCGTATGAGTATCGGTTAGTGTGATGCCTAATTCGTTCGCTCGAAACGCTCTGGTATCCACATTTTCCACAACATTCATTTGAGAACATGCAATCTTCAACCAAGGTTTTCGATACTGCCTTCAGTATGGCAGTACACTATTTTATACCGGACAGCTATCTGAATATCACTATTCTTTTCATCACCCATTGAAATATGCGTGCTTGCGAAAAGCCTGAATAGCTTGATGAAGCAACATAGTTATGCCAATCTTCTATGTTTCCTGATTTGGTCCTGCAAAGTGAGCTGAAAACAATGATTTTCCTAATTTGTACGATTGCGGTTTGGGGAAATAAGATCAACACAAATTCTCACCCGGTTGTAGCAACTATCACTTTAGGGACAGCACCAAGACAGCAGGGGATTTGTCACGTATCGCTAAAAAGCAACTGAACTTTAATTCAAATATCGTTCTAAGATTGTGATTTGTAAGCCGTTGGAGGCTTAACTGAGATTTATTACTAGTCAATTAATCAAGAACGGATTCCTTTTTATCTACTCGCTCGTTTCAATTGAAGATAAGTCAACCACAAACGTTTTATTGAGAAGGAGGAGTATACAATATCCAGCAGTTCGCAAGAACTAAAATCGTCACTGCAAACATACGTGGACCGGTGAATTTTTACATCTGACTAGCTTTGTTCCATTAAGCCAGTTCTGGGTCATGATAAACTGTCCAAACATATATTGCATCACAACTAACTAAGAAAAAGAATTGCAAACTAGAACTGTCTACCTGAAAGTGCATATTATTGAAACAGATGTTTGAGGCCGTTACGTTCGTGTTCTGAACAAAGAGATAACAATATATTATTGCGGATAAAAGAGCGATGAAACGTCTGAAATGCAGAAGGATTATTTCAACCAAAGTATGACGACAGACGACAGTTAGCTTAGCGCAGTAATGTATACTCACGTGAAATCAACTCCTTTACCAACAGAATTACAAAACCCTCAACCTCGGACGCTAGTTATTCTTTAGAAAGAACTGCTCCGCCGCTTCCTATACTAACCATGCTGTTTTTTCATTCTTTTGACCGGAAGTGAGTTGTACGGCCAATGAATATCAAGAACTCGGATGCGCTCCCGAGGACTTAAATTCTATGAACTCACAATAACATATCGCATTTCGGGACTTGGATGATTAAACGATTTACCGGAGATAGTGGAGCAAACTTAATTAGGTACTGCGATTTCGGGGTCCAAATTGAGATCATTATGCTGCTTACACCAGCGAAAATCCACTTGCCAATAGGAATAGATTGCTTTATTGGACCGCATATGTACTCATTAAATCCGATCAGAGCCTCTGTGATGCATACGATTGAGGTCACACACGGAAGGTTGGGCGTCACACAAAGTTGGTCCGTGTATGCCAGATTGACATTGTCCTGTGTTTCCGTTCAAGGTCATTGGATTGAAGGAGCATATGGAGTTTTATTCGGTTAAAAAGCTTCTCATTGCAAGAAAAGAGAGAATTGGATTTCATGCCCTCTAGCTGTCTTCATGCGGTATACGCTTCAACCCCCCAAACGTCTAATGTCAACCTTATAAATTGAGTAGTTGTAACCAGCTATGAATCATCCAATGCGCATGAGCTTTCGAAATACGAGCTACTTATTCTCATTAAGTAGATTGTTTTGAGGTAATATGCAGTGTCCCTCTTAAAAAATAATTGTTTCCAAAGGAATACGCTGTTTAATTATTCTACCAGTTCCAACTAGCTGCTTTTGCTCGCATAAAGGCACCGAAATAGTGAGCACTCAAAACTTTGAGTAATGCATTCTCGTAGCATCTAAAAAGGGCTGCTTTCCCACACACTTATTATGATGATCGTGATTACTTTTACTTGAATTGTGACAACATATGAGTAGTTTGAAATGTGATTAGTTTTTTCTGTCTCCTCAATGAACTCAGTTTGTCGTACATTGCTTGATAATAGTTGCTTTTGATGTTGATATAAGATGCAGTCCATATCGCTTCAATTTTGTAATCCACCAGGTATTTTACAAGCACTCTACCCCAGGAGTCAATTGGCCTTTATTGATCGTTTAGTTATGAAGCTGAAAGAGTGTGAACAAAAAGAAAAACATGTACCCCAACCTGCATGCTCCTGAAAAAAGGTTCGTATCAAGTCGGTTCTTATACAGCGGTTCTAGATTCTTAAAGTGTATTTATTTCATAACAGAGTGCGCCAGGCTTCTCTAACAATACCGAGTTATTTTATTCGATCTGGTGTTTCGCATTCCTGTTATGCTTAATATCTGATTGGTTGAATTACTTTCAAACATTTTCATTAGTTTTGAATCTGCGTTTACACCTTTTCCTATCAAGCTTTAGCCAAAACCCGCATTGTTGTAGCCTACGCCACTCATCCCTCAACCAAAACCGGTAACGCATCAGCCACGATCCGTAGTCCTTTGGTCCCGACGCACAAGCTCCAGTCATGCGCTAATCAGATCAAAAAGCATTGGGAGATTCTGAGGTCAAAGAATGTTGAAGCATCTTATTTTCTACAAATATCAATGTTGATGTTGGTTAACAAGTGAGAAAGTGTATTGCTGGTAGTGGACTACAATCACTTGACTAGTAACGGGAATCACAGTTACCTTTGGCATCGAT